GCCAGCTAGCTGACTTGACTTGATGGTATGCGACTTCTCATTAATTGTTTGTTGCTTTGGTTATTGCCGGTCGTTCGCGTCAAAAACATTAACTTCATTAACACTTACATGCCAGATACGAGATATCTGGCCACAACTACTTGGGGCAGCCAGTTTTTGTTTTTCGGTTTATTCGGCTGCCTTTTCCTCAGTTTTCTGCTCGGCCACACAGACGCAATTATGAAGTTTTATCTTTGGTTTATGTCTTCTATTTTACGAATACTTTTGGCCTGGCCAAGCTGGCACATCATCAGTATTATAAATTGTGTTGCCAAGCGGCTCTTTGAGTTCATTATGTGGTTTTTCACAAGGAGAAATACTGGATTAAGTTTGAATAAAAATCTGCAGGTCAAATTAACGTATAAATAATTTTATAAAATCTTTAACTTTATAGATTTAGATTCAAGTTGGCAATCAGTTTTTCTCTTTCTACACTGAAATGTGGTCTTTGCGATTATCTTAGTTGAATTATCTCAGCGATTGTATGTTTATTTTTCGTTACTCGGCTTGTACACCTTTTCTAATTAAAGGTCGGCAGCTTGATGTGTCTGCTGGGATCTCTGACTTTCCGATTTTTCTGTTCTCGGCCGCTTTGTTTTGCGTTTAATTATCGCCTTTGTGTTGCTTTCAGTTTTTTTTCATCGTCTTTTTTTTAAGCAAATACCGCGGCCTTTGCCGACGATCGTGGCGCCAAGATAAACCAAAAGAACATGTTTTGCTCTCAAGTGGCCGACACAATGGGAATCAACTTGTTGTTGTTGTTGAGTCATCAAGAAAGCATTTTGGCGTCTGATATGAAACATGCCGCCTTGCAAATTAACTTTGGCCTAAGCCACTCCAAACAGATATAGGCGCAAATTGAATGGCGAATGGTGAATGGCCGGGGGCCGAAGGCTTACGTGACTTGCCGATGACCTACAAAAGGGAATTTACTGAATAATGTATCATGAGAAAATGTTACTCGAAATATTTCTAAGAATTGCTGGGGAAGAACAATTAAAAATCAAGAAAATAATCTTGAAAGCTTTCGAAAAATGACTTTAAAAATAACTTTAACCACCCTATAGGGTATTTTAAAAATATATTTCTGAAATTGGTAACAAGAAGAGCATCACATAGCTTAAATCCCGAACTAAAATGTACTTCAAATTTTGTAATGTAATCCCTAAATATTTTCAAGTTTATGTTTAATTCTTAAAATTTTCTGCTCCAAATCCATTTACATTTTTTGAAATTTTTTGTAAACTTTGTGTGTTTAAATGTTGAACAGTAACATATTTAACTACAGCTTAAATCTGAAAGGTAAACAAGACGCATACTGCCATTGTAAGGCAGTGAAAGCTCTAGCCGTCAACTTTAGATGATTTTAAGATGCGAAGGGCCCCGCCCTGAAAAAGCGGGGAACCCAAGAAACCTCACCTCGAGGCTCTGGAGTTGCCCCTAAGCCTGCGGGCATAATGAATTGAATTTGTGCATTTGCGTAATGTGTGCGTAGGGCAGACGGAATGAAAATGATTAGCTACGGCCGCACGGACCACTTCAATTCCTCAGACGACCGCAATAGATATTTTCGAGGGACTGGGGCCAAGCCCAAGGGCTCCGAATTACCTGAGAGGCGAGGTCACAGTGTCGAAATGGGCGGCCCAGCCTCATGAATTTTCTATGATAAATGGAACGTCACGGCCTGCGGCTTATCTATCAAAAGAAAAACAACGAAATTGAATGCAGCCTACGTGGCGGATGAGTAATGCGTGCCGAGTTCCCTTCAAGTTTCCAAGCCAACTTTATGTCAATTTCGTTGGAATTCAGTCGTGGGATCGTTTTAGGCCCAGATCAGTTAATGTTCATTAACATATCCATGTCCATGTGTTTATCTGCATTTTTTATGCTGAGTAATTTTGGTGTTATCAAGTCCAACGATGCTGTAGATAAAAGCTGTCCACCTGAGATTTGCATAATTAATTAGTGTGCTTGTGGCTGGGCTTTATAGTGCAAATCAAAAATGCGCATAAATTGGATGAAAACGTTATAAATTGTCCGTAATAAAACACGAATTTACAAAGAAATATATATGGACGCTTAGAAAGCAGGTGGCATTTGACAACTTTTGGAGACTGATTTTAAATCGACTTGGCGCCAAGGGAAAAATGGGAAAATATAGACATCAGTGATTGGAATTTAGCATAGAGAAAATAAGCAAGGAAACTGTTTGAAATATTTTTTAATTTTTAATTTTATTCAAGAAATTGTTTTATCGACTTTTCAAGTTTTTCAAACAATTGGCTAGAATTCCTGGCAGACGGCCTAAAAATTTAGATTGTCGAGTGGCAACTGGGTCAACTGCCGTACTCCTTCCCATCTTTTCCCACTTTTTCCACCTACACTGCAGTGTAAACAATTCCAGTACTTGGCAGGACTCAACGACTAGCTCATTTCCCAGGCACTTTGGCTAATTGTCTTCAATTGTCGCCACCTCGGCAACTCTTTTCGCAATCTCCCCTCTCCTGCTGGGGAATAACAACAATGGCGAAAGGAAAGGCGACCAACAAAGTATACAAAATGGAGACTTGGGACTGCTTTGCTTGCATAATGTTCATGCAATTAAAAGCCATGTCCTGGGCTCAACTCAAATGGGCGGGGTCCTTGGCAAGGACGCGGCTCGCACAAATGAAAAATGAAAGGCGAAATGAAAAATGAGAAATGGAAAATGGAAAAACGCGCGTAGAAAGCGGGCTAAACCGCAAATTTGGGTCAGCAGGCGAGAAGTGGAAATTTCCCTTCGTTCCCCCTTCGTTTTTTAAGCGCGCTAATTAATTAAAAAGAACCAGATACAATGGAGCCAAGAATGGATAGTGCGGCAGAAGAACCTAGAGTGGAGTTGGTGAAGTGAATTACTGCGCAGAAAGGCGTCGAATGGGGCTAGTGGGAATGGGATTTATATGTCAAGTGGGTGTTATGCAGCAGCAGGGTGTTTCCCTTCTAAAATTAATCTCCTTGTGCTGCGGGGAAAATTGTATTTTGCGAGATAAATGGTTTGAAAAGATGTTAAGGTAATAAAGGATAGCTAAGATGTGCATTGTAGGACGTTATTTGATAATATTAATAGCAAAGGTTTCTCAATTAGCTGCACTTACCATTAATATTATTCAAAATAAATTGATTTAAATTAATATTTCCCAAACATTTGGTCAAAAGCATAGATTGAAATATCAATAAAGAATACTTACTCCATTATTGACCAATAAAAATTTGCAATTGACATTACATATGATATGTTCTGTGTGCATATAATAAATGCAATATTAAATCGACTTATTCAACTAATAAATCAACTGGAAAATGAAAAAAAGACCAAATAGATAACAGTTAATTAAAATTCTTTTGCAAATAATTCAGTTACGTCAAATATTTAAATTTCACATTCTGCCTTCGCACTATTACTGAACATCAAACAGTCGCAGTCGCTGCAGTCCGATTCGCTTGGCTTTGGTGCGGTTCACGCGTCGTATGAGCAATGTTGTAATGAATGGGCCAAAAGCGACCGCAGACCGTCGACTGCTCATCTGCCGGCTCAGCTTTCAGCGCTCGGGTGGCCACAAGCGCCCAGATAATACTACTGCAGCCATTTCAATTAAAAATGAAAGAAACAAAACCGAAACCGAAACCAACACAAACAAGAGAGAACGCTATAGTCGGGTGCCCCGACTATCAGATACCCGTTACTCAGCTAAAGGGAGTGCGAAGGAGATGGAGAAAAACTTTGATCCGCCGTAACTTTTTAACGAATGGTCCGATTTAAAAAATTTCTTCTACATTTCGATAGGTATTGATAAACACAATAAAACTGCATTTTTACTTTTCCAAAATATTGAAATTTTTAAAATCGTATATATGCGATTGTGGGCGTTAGAGGGGGCGTGGCACCCTTTTGAAACAAACTTGCGCTGCGTAGGAACTCCTAGAATCTGCATGCAAAATGTCAATCTTCTAGCTTTTATAGTTTCCGAGATCTCAGCGTTCATACAGACAGACAGACGGACAGACAGACGGACAGACGGACAGACGGACAGACGGACAGACGGACATGGCTAGATCGACTCGGCTAGTGATCCTGATCAAGAATATATATACTTTATGGGGTCGGAAACGCTTCCTTCTACCTGTTACATACTTTTGCACGAATCTAATATACCCTTTTACTCTACGAGTAACGGGTATAAAAAGGCCGAAAAGAAAAGAAAACTTTGAGTGCCGCCGCCGCCGACGACGACGTCATTAATTAGGAATGCTCTCCGAGCAGTCGCCTTTCAAGTTTCTCGGGGGGATTCAAAGAGATCGGCATTGGCCGCCCGGTCGCCATCGCTTTGTGTTGGCGTTGAGGCATAAACTTTTGTGCTGTTGTAATGCGCTTTGTGCAAATTGCAAATAAATTGCAAGACGCCGGCGAAAGGCGCACAGAGAGAGAAATATGACGCAGAGTGTTTTACTTTCAAATACATTACTTTAAAATCGTAGGTTAGATTTATCCAAAATGAAATATATTTTTATACCCGTTCCTCGTAGAGTGTGTTAAAATGTGCCTGGAGCCCACATTTGTAAAGGTTTCGGAAAAGTACAAATTCAAATGTTGTTGTGTTTATTAATACCTATCGAAATGTAGAAGAAATTTTTCAAATCCGACCATTCATTAAAAAGTTATGAGCAAATGATGGAATTCAAGCAGTGCAAAAAAACAAAAATTGTCAAAAATATGACTTTTTTTTTACATGTAATTTGAGAGGGAGACAAATTGAAGCTACTTATTTTAATTTGCAAAAAATATGGTAGACACTTTTGCGCGGTGAAACAGAAAAGCCGACAAAAGCCAGGGGGATTAGATGGCCGGGCGCCTTTTTTATGCCGCCAATTTCATGCCACTTTGCATTTTAATTAAAAGCATCCCACCCTTTCTGTCGTTGCAGTCCAGGAATGCACCACAGACTCCGAGGAGCTGATGTACCACCAGGTGCGCGCCTCCTCCTCCTGCAGCGCCCCGCCCGACCTGCTGCTGGTCAGCGAACGTGACAACAATATCCAACTGCGATCGCCGGTGGTGAACATAATCACCACGCCGCCGGGCAATGCCTCCAGTGCGGCGACCAAGCAGCAGCAGTCTCACCATCAGCACCACCAGACGAACCCGCACCACCACCACAGGAGCCATCCCTCGCATACGGGACATCCGCAGGATGTGAGCAGCGGCGGCAGCCACAGCAAGCATCTGCGAATCAGCAGCACTTCCAACGGCAAGCACGGCAAATACTCAAATATGCAGCAGCAACAGCACTTGCCGCAGGACGAGGATGTGGTGGATGCCGCAGCCGCCATGCAGCAGCAGCAGCAGCACGGCGGCCACGCCCACTCACGTCACCTGCACCACCACAAGGAGGAGCGCATCCGGCTGGAGGTGAGTCGAACTATGTACTCTATGAATTATCCCACATCCCACTGCCCGGACACAATCGAATTCCATCTCCCAGGCCCATAAACACCGAGCTTAATAGTCCATTCTGATTTCAATTTCCATTGCCATTCATTAATTAATGAATTTATGGATTGGATTTGTCTTGTTTTCATCGTTTCATAACCCAGATATTTATGGAGCCATTAATTGATGGGTACTTCCAAGGGGTAGTGCCGAATTTTCTAGAAGTTTTCTATAGAATTAAAATGTAGAAATTATCAGAAAACCAGACACAATTAAGGTTTATTTAAATTGCGGTGCTTATATTAGATAGCCAATAACTTAGATCAATTAAATAACCCAAAGATGAATTAAAAACCATTATTCAGATTTTATTTTTTCAATTATTTTCCATTAAAGTGTTTACTAGAGTATTCACAGTCAGCATGCCCGACGATTATTTTCAATTAGCCCAACAATCGCTTTGCTTATAAATACAAGGTGATAAATAAAATGATGTTTGGTTTTCCATTTGCGGGCTTTTCTGACCCCCAGCCAGGTGTTTGGTCAAGTTTAATCAACTCGCCGGCTGTTATTACCACCCCCTGGCCACGATTCCTGGCCATAACTCATGACCCACAGGGCACATCGCACATCGGCCATAAACTCAACATTTCAATGTGCTTTTGATTAAAATTTCAATGGCTGCCCGCTCGCCGCGATGGCCTCAGATTTCAGCTTCATTTGTTGTTCCAACATCCACCCACGAAATGAAAATAAAATCGAGAAAGAGGGAAAAAATATTTCATTAACACAAGGGCGCCGGCAATTTTCCATTACCACCCACTGCGGACGAACATTCTCTGTTTCGGACGCTGTTTCTACTTGTGCCAGTTTCGCCAAAAAATATCAAAACATTAAAATTCAATAAAACCCATTAAAAGCAAAACAACAAACACGAAAAGCACTCAGGGGCAATTAAAAATCTACAAGCCAAGCAACAGCAAAGGAAATTATATTTATTTGTATGCGACTGAGGGGCAGCGGAGTGGAAACTCTGGGTGCTGGATACTGGATGCTGGGTTCTGCCACTTTATCAATGGTAATGGCTCCTCCCGCCAGGTTCTCAGACTCTCGGATTCCCTGCCCCCTGTGAAGCTGACGTTGCTGCTTCTGCAGGCGAAAATTAAATATTTAGTCAAATTATGGCCACAATTTTCGACTGGTTTCAGTGGTCTTGTGCAGCTACCAATTGTTGTTTTTAGTGGCAGCTGGCTGTGGCTTCAGTTTTTGCTCCTTTTTGCAATTTAGCATCATCAGACCAACATGTTGCAACATGTTGCATTGGCAAAAAGTGTTGCATACTTTCGGGTCGGGCATGAAAATTTGCAGCACAATTTTTATGCTTGAAAGTTTATTAGTTGCGTTTTTTGTTTATTTTCAGTTAGTTTGCCACTGCATCAGGCTTATGTAGATGTTAAAAATTTGTGGGCAAAAAGTTTTCCAACACATTTGAGGGCGGGGGAATTTGAGGCTTTGGGTTTGTGCTAAATTCCGTACGGAATGGTATTTATTTGTCTGAGGTGTTAGGGAGAAGATTAAATTTGTTGGCATGCTAATTTATAACACATTAAAAGTTTTTAAAACTACCAAGCCGAACAGCAATTTATAATAATGGCTTTCGCACTTGTTTAGGTAATTAAACAGTAATTTTAAATGTTTATCTACGATAAACAAAATTTCTTTTGGGCTATATAAGTAAACATTTCATTTAAATCAATTTAATGGCAACTAACATACGAGAACTTTTACAAAGAAAATTGAATAAAATATCAAATATCAAGATGTGCTTGAAGAAGTTCTGATTGTGGGAAAAATACATTTCAACTATTTAAACAAAGGTCTTTAATTAAGGCAATGTTAGAGCAACTCTTGTACGCCCTTGGGAAAATTCCATTACCGAAGAATGTTTATTTGCACACTTGATTTGAATGAAGCTCAGTCTGAGACAATCACTCATTCCGCCTCTATTTTCGTATTCAAAAACAGGAATTCACCTGCGACGTGTCCGTGGAGGGTGGCAAGTCATCGCAGCCGCTGCAGTTCTCGTTCACGTTCTACGACCTGGACGGCCACCATGGCAAGATAACAAAGGACGACATCGTGGGCATTGTGTACACCATATACGAGTCCATTGGCAAGTCGGTGGTGGTGCCCCACTGCGGCAGCAAGACAATCAACGTGCGGCTCACCGTCAGTCCCGAGGGAAAATCGAAATCGCATTCGCATTCGCAGCCGGTGGTGCCGGTTCCCGTTTCCATGCCCGTTCCAGCCGGATTCGGCGGCAGCCATGCCAGCAAACTGAAGAAGCTGCCCACGGGTTTGGTGGGCGGAGTGGGAGCCGGTGGGGCGACGGCACTAACGACATCCGCCGGCAACCGCCGCCAGCATCGCTATCGACCGCGCAAACTGATTAAGTCCGATGACGAGGACGATGACAGCAACAGCGAGAAGGAGAAGGACGCCGCCGCGCCCACCGGCGACCAGCCGAGCGGAAGTGGAAGTGGGGCAAAAAAGGGCCATCACCACCAGGCGCAGGCCAACAGGTATCATCAGAATCTGAATCAGAGCCAGAAGAAGGAGCAGTGCTGCAGTGGGGAGCAGAATACGCCGGACAATGGCCACAATACCTACGAGAATATGCTGAATCTCAAGTGCTGCAAGCCGGAGGGCGACCAGGTGGACTGCCCCTCCCACCGCCAGCAGCACCACCAAATGCGGCAGCAGGACATCTACATGAAGCAGGCCACCCAGCGGGTCAAGATGTTGCGAAGGGCGCGCAAACAAAAGGTAGGCACAAGGTAACAAACGAAATCATGGCAAAAACAAATCCCAATATTAATCCAAACTAAAACTGCTGCCAGCCTAACGCCAGTTTAATATATGCATGGAATACTTAAATACTAATTGTAAAGATAATACAAAAATATTTAATATATTTGATAACGAGGAATTACCTATTAAGAAAAATTAACTGGCAGCAGTTCCGAACTGAACCTTTCCACCCCCAAAAAAAAAGTCGCCCCTTGTTTTTGTTATACTTCTGTTGCTTACCATATGCGTTGCACACACTTTATTGGTTTCCTTATTATAATTTAATTTTATTTCCCATTATTTTTGGTTAACTCATCGTCATCAATCAGTACCAGGATCACTGCCTCGAAACGCGACAACGCAGCCTGTCAGTGGGCAACGATTCCGCCTGGCAGAATCGCCATCTGCAGCCGCAGCAACCGCTGCCGGTGGGTCAGGCCGCTGCCACGCCCCCGCCCGCCCAGCCGCTGAACCACAAGAGCGCTTCGGGGTCGGGCTCACCACCTCTGGGGGGTGGCGATATGATGCTCGATGGTGTGCAGCTGCGCCAGCCGCGACCCCAGTCACTCGCCCACCAGCCAAATCAACAGCAACGCAAATCGGCCGAATGCTGGAAATCGGCGCTCAATCGCAACGATTTAATTAGCATCATCAGGGAGAGCATGGAGAAGAATCGCCTGTGTTTTCAGCTGAATGGGTAAGCCAATTCGCGATGAATCCACCCCAAGTCCACAATGATTAGCGGCGGAGTGAGCCGAAATGAATCTAGAAAGCAAACAGGCTCATGGCAGAGGTTTGACATTTTCCAAAATCAATTGCCTAAGGAAACTCAAAAAGTTTTCAAAAAAACCATTGGATACTGAAATTTAACTTAATTAATTAAAATGTTTCATCTCTAAATGAAAGAAAAATTTTAGTATTCTTTATTTTGTAAAATAATTCTGATAAATTAATTAAATATATCATATTATTTGTATTAAATAAGTATTAAAATTTAATTTGCTATTTTAATGCTGCCTACACATTTAAAAAAATTATTTAAATTAGTATTTATCAGTTAAAATGCTTCTGTTAATATTTCCTTAAGACTATTTGATAACAATTATTTGAATATAAATTAATTTGGGTATTAATTAACTAAACAGTAGTGATAAAAAAGTAAAATAATACAAATCATAATTTTGGCATTTATAATTTTCAATCAACTAACTGCAAGCAAAAATTAAAAAATCTCTGCCAAATAGATATTTCTTTAAAACGTGAATGATTTCATTGGTTACATTTTGATCCTTTCCAACAAAAACTTATTTGTTTGCCTTTTTATTTTTAATTACATGGCGACTCCTTACCTCCTCAAAATACCTAACATAATGTACCCCCAAGTCCCATGAAATCAAGACTAATTGAGGTCATATTTGTTTTGCAATTTTTGCAGAAAACCCCAAGCCAATGTGAGTCCCATACGGCAACCGGCAGCACAACAACAACAACAACAACAACAGCAACGCCAACGCTGCAATACGGGCTCGAAAATACCCACGTTAATTGCCAACCACAGTCCGGTCGCCCAGCAATCGCCGCTCAGCTGCAGTCCACCTACGGCGGACACCAACACCACCAGCATTCCAGTGGCCCCGCCGGCCATCGAGGTCAACGGTCAGCAGCAGCAGCCCCATCCCAGCCACCTCAGCCACCACAACCACCACGAGCATCCCCAACCGCACATACCCATCTACCATCAGCAGCTGGCCATTAATCCGGCCGTTCTGGCCGCCCAGCAAACTCACAATACGGCCCACAACAAGCTGAATCTGTGCGGCTACGACTCCTTCCTGCATGCCACCATCTGCGGGGGCGGGGCGGCCGCCCACTCGCCCCCGGCCACGCCCAGCAATGTGGCGACCGTTCAGCCGATACCGAAGAAGAGCCAGAAGAACCTGCTGCCGGGATACCAGCGACTGGAGCAGCAGCAGCGGAGCAGCAAGGACTACAAGAACTATGGAAATCTCATCTACGCCAAGCTGAGTGAGCAGCTGCAGCAGAAGGATCGGGAACAGCGGCGACAACGGCACAAACAGCAGCAGCAGCAGCAGCAACATCAGCTGTTGCAGGATCAGCACAAGGACAAGGAGCCACGACCACCCACCTCGAACTCCAGTTCGGCGGGATCGAAGATCTACGGCGATGCCGTGGAGTGCGCCCATCTGCTGGCCAGCGAGGAGGAGGATCTGCCGCCCAGTCCGCAGCTCACGAGTACGCCCAGCAAGGTGGTCAGCACCGATACCCTCATCGATCTGAACGACGATGTGGGCGAGGCTGTGGCCGAGGCAGTCGCCGGAAATGGCAAGCAGTCGCTGGAGGCCGAGGAATCCGGCCAGCAGGTGGAGGCCGAACTGGACACCAGTGCCTCCAGCTCCATGATCCACCGCTATGTGCACGAGCATATCCACCATCACTATCACCACTTCAAGGAGCAGCAGGATGTCTAGGCCGAGTCGGGGGAGAATCTATCTACTATTTGAATGTTGCTTATGTTTCAGTCTATTGATTAATGTAGCGCGAATTGTAATTTAAACTAAGCATTCATCAACTAAAAATCAAGAAAATATTCAAAAACGATATTAGGGCCACAGGATGTGAGAATGGTTAAGTGAGTTTGAATAGGGTGATGATAGTCCCAAACTGAACAGATTAAAATATATAAAAAGGTTATTGTTAAAAAAAATGCATTTTTTTATTTCCCTTGAAGCTCTGTAATATTTAAGATTTTAGTTTAATACATTTAATTATTCAATTAATTATTCAACCGATTTCAAACTCACTTTTCCAATTTTACTTGGGAAAGTCCTTAGAACCAAACTTGAACTTATCGAGGACTTGACCCACTGTGAGATCCACTGATCCCAGCATATATGTATATGTAGCCTCTTTAGCTTACGCAGAAATCGAATGGAAAACAAAAATTACGCGCCTTTTGCCTTAGCAACAATCGAATCGCCGCTTCGCTATGCTAATCAACTAGCAACATGTTACAGCACACCCACACATATCACTATCAGAAACAGAAACCGAAACAGAGGTGTGTGTGTACGTGTAAACTAAATGGGAGAATAACTATTGTTTAGTGCAAATTATTAAATCAAATTGTTGTCTATGATATAAAATTTTATGCGCCGCTTTTTAAGTGTTTAGACAGAGAGCAACAAATGAGTGCAGTGGGACTATGGCCGCCAGTTTTAAGTTAACTATCGATCGTGTATATTTATGTTATCTAAGCCCATTAATTTAAATACTATTTTTAGTTTCTAACACTAACCCCAACAAGACAAGCAACAATGCAACTAAATACTAAATTACAACAACGACAACACATAAATTGTAGTTCAATTATTATTTTTAAAATGGATTTTTATTTCGTCATCTGTCAACCAATCGAGTTAGCAACCCAATCAATCAAATCAAACAAAACAAGCACAAAAACAAAATGCATTTAACTCTTATTTACATAAAAAAGACTGATTTCCAATTAAACAATATATTAATTAATTGCGTACGAATAAAATATATATAAATATATATAGACAATTTATGAAAAATACTAAATAAATTATTGAATTGCTAAAATTAAACTAACTTAAAGATGTTTTAATCATGCAGTGGGATGCAAGTTGGTTAATCTCATAATAAACCAATATTTTCCGGTAAATTTAAATAAAAAATCTTATAGGCTGAAAAAAATTGGTCTAATGAATGAGCCGAACAATGTGGTGAAATAACCGCATTAGTGGCCCAAGGTCATTAGCAAAAGTTTTAAGAACACAAATTTCACTCTGTTTTAAAACGTGATACAGAAAAGAGAAGAGAGAATAAAAAGAACATACAAAACTCTGAGAGAGTCTTCTTTATACATAATACCTTTTACTCATAAAGTAAAAAGGGCATATTTTATTTTCAAAAAGGTTCCAACATTAAATAAAGTCCTTGAAACAGCATTAATAACAAGGAGTCGGCAGACTTTTGTGATGTCCTACTTTTTTTTAAACTAGGAGCACCGGTTTTTGAAAGAGAAATGAAGCTTGTCGTTGGGCTACCGGAACATAAGTAGGGGTATATCATAGTCGAATAGCTACATTTTAGAGTTCTCGTCTCTTGCTCTCTCTGGTTTTCGGAAATTTTGAGCTTTTGGTTCCTTGATCTCAATTCAGTTCTCTTTTGGAATCACTTCGATCAAGTCGCATAATTCTTCGAAAAAAAAGCTTGAGCTCTGAATATATCTTTGGATAAGCATTGCTCCACTTCAACTTCTATGTACATATCGTTTGATCAGCCTATGCAATGGATGAGAATGGGGAATTCATTCTAAACAACGATTGTCTATTAGAGATAATGAAATACATAGTTGCTGATTCCGAATTGGACTATTCATATATTAAGTGTGGTACTTCGAAGTGTAATGATTTAATCAACTTCCTGCTGGCTCATGAAATTTTTTTGGAACTGTTTAAGGCTCATTATAAACATCAGTATAGGCTAATCGAATGGCCTATTGCCAGCACGATGACAAAGCTACTAATAGATCTGCGTGTCAATAAGTTTTCGAGCAAAAGGAAATACTGTTTCTGGAGATACTACCTGCATGATTTCAGAGAAAAAGTGAAAACCATTTATATTCAACTAATTTTTGAACCTAGTTGCGTTAACTTAGCCCTAGGCCTATCTGGTAAGTCATCTTCTAAGCGTCTGTATTTGTACTTTACCACAGCTAGTGAATCATAAAATGAAGTAACCTTTCATTTGATGATGAAATTGTTGAATTCTTAAAATGGTACTTTTATTAATTGCTCGGCATTGTAAATGATTTATATGCTGCTATGAAGAAGAAGAGTAAAATAAACAAATTCATAGTGTGAGGACCTTGAGCTACATAAAAAAAATAAAAATAGATTTCTAATTTAATTTTTTTAAATTATTAAAATAAAATGGCTAATAGTTTTAAAAACTGCGAATATATTATACAAATTATGACAGTACACTCATATTTTTCTACGATATTTTTTAAGATACCTGCAGCTACATGTTTGAAAAAGACAGACTTAATTTAAATGAAGAAGTAACTGCCGAAGCTTTAGTGGACATTTGCAAGTTTATGTCGGTGAACCCAAAGTTGATATCGTTAGACTTGCGAAAAACTCAAGTACATGGAAATCTCTCTGATATCGCACCACATTGCCGACATCTTAAAGAGCTTATATTTATGTGGAACCAGAAAGATCTCCAATATGCGCCGCTGGCAAAATTACCCAATTTAGATACATTTATTATCGGTGGAAGACCTGCAGCCCTTATCATTAACACTGGTAGATCGTTCAACCATAGGTCGAACTCTAATGTTAGCAACCTATGAATCTTTGGAATTTTTGCATATATACCAAGAAAATAAGGATGTATTCTTCAAATCCCAGTACATTTTAGGAGAAACCTCAGAAGAAATGAGTTCATTAGAGGAGTGTCTCATAACTATACCTGTAGACAAAAACGTTACCATAAGGTTTGACAATGACAGAGGTGAACTAAAGTTATGGATAGCAAAAGAATCGGACACAAGCCAATTAGTTCCACTGTTGAAGCTGCCCAATCTATATCGCTTTTTCCTAATTATAAAAAATGAAAACAAGTGGGGATGGATGGAAAGAAGTAGTTCTGAATTAAATCAAGAATCAGTTGCAAATCAAATTCTTCCATTAGCCCCATTGGCTTGGAAATGTTTCGTAGTAAAAAATAAACCATTGAATGTATCTGAAACAAAGGACCTTGCGACAATTAAATCAATCCGATATCTGTATTGCAATTTATCCGATTGGGAATCGATGAAACTTTTGGATCAGCTAACTAATCTGCAATTTGCGAGCATCGCAGTTCCATCAACATGCGGAACTCCTGCAACTGGAATTTTGAGCCTGTTAGCCTCATGCAACACGAATTCTGAAATCGTCTGTAATGATTTTAATATTCGATTTCGAAAGAAGGAACAGGCTCTTAAGATTCATATGGCAATTGACAGCAAGGCTGATGTGCTTGTTCCCCTTGCACAATTAAATAACATTAAAACTCTCGAAGTTTCGGGATTGCCCTATCCAGGATCTTTAAATCCACTTTTTGAAGCCTTTGGCACCAGCAACATGAATACAATTGAAGAATTGGATATTCAATCGAATGGACTTAATTTTAAAAATATATTCAAATTGACGGAAATTCAAAGCATCAAAAAACTAAAGTTGTCATTGATAAATTTCCCTAAGCATATGAAATGGGATGACTTTGATAAATTTATGGAGCTGTCATTAGACACAGGTGAAGAGCGAACACTGTCTGCTATTTTTATGGAACTGACTTTGAAAAACATCATTCGGTGTTTGAAAATACTTTGTAAAACACTTTCACCGGAAGAGGTAATACAAGTTTCCCAAATAAAATCGCTAAGAGAACTGGAGTGCAGTATCTCGAACACAGAAGACCTTGAATCCCTTACAGAACTGGCTAACTCGCCCATTGAAAACTTAATAGTTTTCGGATTAGATGCAAACAATTCCCTACGGAAATTATTTTCTGCCATTTCCTCAAGTAAAACAACTAGACTTCAACACCTAAAGATTAACGGAAAAGCACTTAACAAAAAAGAAGTTTCGGACATTTGTAAAATAATAAATCTAAGAAGTTTAAGTGCTGGATTCCTCCATTCGAAATGTTTAAAATTATTAAATCGGCTACCTCACCTGGAGAACTTAGTTATTGATTACTTCCAACAAACTAGAAAAAATTCGTTAAAATTTGTACCACCTTCCCTTAGAAAACTAGAATTAAATTACAGTATTGGCCCCAGCGCATGTAGACATTTGGCTAAACTGGAAATGTTGGAGTCTTTAAAGTGTTCACTCCTCGATGATCCGGCCATAAAACTATTGGCAAATATGAAAGTTCTCAAGGAATTAAATGTCTCTAGTGCAAAGGGATCGCTTAATAAACTGTTCGGGGCATTTGCTGAAAAAAACCCATCAATGTTGCAAGAGCTGCACACGCCAAATTTAAAAGAATCTATTGAGTTTCAAGAGATATCACGTATTAAATCACTATTGTCACTAAATATTTCTTACGACACATGCTTCTATAACTTGAAAGTCCTAAGCCAATTAAAAGAACTTAAGTCGTTGCGTATAGTTGATAATTTACCCAAGCAATCACTAGAGAACCAGATTTTTCTAACGATTTTTCAATCTTGTCGAAAGCTTGAATGCGTGACAATTGAAATACGTAATGGAGTGGCCAAAGACTTTGTAAGAGAAGTTTACTCCATTTTAAAATCAGTTAGAGAACCTTTAACCCAGCCACCGTTACAACTTAATTTAATTGAGGATACATGTTTTCCCAGTTTTCATGTGAGTATGAGAATGCAATACATAACCTTTCGGCCTTTAATAATGATTTCTTTCAGCTGGAAGACATTGACGAGGCTTACCTGAAGGTTTCCCATACCTACAATAAGCGATCATTGTAAAGAGGACTTTGACGTCGTTTTTTAAAACTCCTACTGTTTAATTGGACTTGAAAGCAAAATAAGATTTTGTGCTCTCAAAGAATACTTACAAAATTGCCTAAAGATAATTACTTGCTAAAATGTACAATATTTGTTTTGTTTTGTAAACTGTTGAAGTTAATATTACTAATCAATCTAATGTAAATATCAATCGAAAAAAGTAGATACCGGCTATTATTGAGCATAAAGAGCCTGCCCTATGCACATACTCTCCCGATTTAGATCTAGATAAACATTAGGCATTAATGTATTTTGCCGGCTGCCAACAAATTGGACATTGTCTTGGCTTTCGGGCAACACGACACAGAGGTCTAATTTTAAATAGTCGTGCGCCATGTGACAGCGATGTGGACGTGGAGAGAGATCCGAATCCGCTCGAGCGTTTATTTTTTGGCAGCAGACGGAGACACAAAGGAAAATGTTCTCGCAATCAGATCGCGAGTAGAGTCCGAAGACGGAGCACTGAAAATTGTTTAGCCGTCTCCTCAGTGAAATTTCAACCGCGGGGCATTACGCAAACACACAGATTAGTTGGAGATCTATTGGATATCTTCGGACTGCTGGGGGAAATCGCTTTCGATGGCTTCCAGTTCGCTGACATCCTGCGCCCTGTGCCAGGCGAAGGCATCCCAGCTATGCGCCGCTTGCAGGAATGTGGTCTACTGCAGTCGGGAGCACCAGAAGGAGCATTGGAAGAAAGGTCACCGGTCGGAATGCAAGTGCTTCGAAGTGGCCACCAACGAGATCTTGGGCAGGCATCTAAAGGCCACCAGGGACATTAAAATCGGCGAGCAAATCCTGAAGGAGGCTCCCTTGGTGCTGGGACCCAAGGTCGCCTCGGCTCCACTCTGCCTGGGCTGCCACCGGAATCTATTGGCTCCCGAGAAGCCCCAGGGAAACTACTACAAATGCAGCTCCTGCAGTTGGCCGCTGTGTGGAAAGAATTGCGAGGATTCTCCGCACCACAAGGCCGAGTGCCAGCTAATGTCGAGCAGCAATTTCCAGTCCAAAATTAATTACACTCCTGGCGAGGAGGAGCGCAAGGAGTCGGCCTACTGTGTGATCATGCTGCTGCGTTGCATGCAACTGAAAGCCAAGGACCCCGAGGCTTTCGTTCAGCTCTACACCCTGGAGGATCACCTCAAGGAGCGCTTGGAGACTCCTTTGTACCAAGTTCTGCGGGCCAATCTCATTACCTTCATAAAAACCGTTTTGGGTTTGAGGGACTGGTCCGAGTTGGACATTCTGCGCATTGCCGCTATATTGGACACAAACACCTTTGAAGTTCGGCAGCCCAGGGAAAGGCGGAAAATCCGAGCCCTGTTTCCCGGAGCTGCCATGATCTCGCACGATTGTGTGCCCAATATGAGGCATCGCTTCGACGACGACATGAACATTGTGTTCCTGGCCAAGCGGAAGATAGCCAAGGGTGAGATCCTGAGTATTTCCTACACCCAGCCCCTGAGGAGCACCATCCAACGCAGGGTGCATTTGCGGCAGGCCAAGTGCTTCGACTGCTCCTGCGCCAGGTGTCAGGATCCCGAGGAGCTGGGCAGCTTTGCGGGGGCTCAAACGTGTCTGAAGTGCAAGGCAGGAAAGGTATGTGAGCTACTGCTATTTATACTATTTTCAACGAATTCTCCTTAATTTAAGGAGATACCCCATAACGTTGAGCCATTGTATTATATTTCTTACTTTTATTCTAGATCATCTCACTGAATCCCCTTCAAAATTCCGCCGTTTGGAAGTGCCAGCTCTGCAACCTCAAGAGATCAGCCAAAGAGGTGGTCACTTCGGATGCAGAGCTTCAGCAGGAGTTGGAATCGCTGGACAAGACAACACCCGTGGCTCTTGAGGAGTTCATATATCGCCATCGTGCTGATCTGCATGAAACCAATACCCACATTTTGCAAGCTAAATACGCTTTAACCCAACTATATGGATCCGCACCGGGATTCGCAATGGAGGGTAATATATTTTAAAGGCCTGTTAAAACCAATATTCAAATATTTCCCTATTTTAGAACTTTCTGAAGAATCGCTTAACAGGAAAGTGCAACTATGCGAGGAGCTCCTTAATTTGGCCAACCTTTTCGATGGTGGTTGGAGTATTTTCCGAGGAAATCTTCTCATAGACATGGAAGAGGCTTTGGTGGCCCAGGCTCTACGCTCAGAAGATCCAGTGGAGTGCGAAGAGAAGCTGAGAAGAGCGGCGGAAATGCTCAGGGAAATTCGAAACATCATGAAACACGAGCCGGAAATGCAGCAGTTGCTATTAGAACGCCAAGTCATCTTGAATTCGGCCCTAGAGCGATTTGACCAAGTTGAAAATTAAATACATATAACTTTTTTGCTATTGTTTCTAGAAAAGTGGTATTGTTTAGTTTATTTGCTGGGTAAATATAATCAGGTTTTAAATTAGCGCCAAGCTAGTTTTAAATCAACCAGAAAATGTCAGTGGTCATCCATTGTGAACTAATTTCCTTTTAGCCAATACACCATCCTTAGCGGAGACACCTGCCTTGCATGTCAGTATGACCATTTATGCAGTATTTTTGGTATATTCGTAAATGGTATTTATTTCTTCCGCGGTCCCACATTTCATTTCACGTGTTTTGTGTTTATATTTTGGTTTGCCTAAAAAAACAATTTATTTAGAAGAAATGGAGAGTATAAGCACAGAATTACCCTCTGAGGTAGTGGATAAATCTGTAGAGGTCAAGGAAATTGCAGAGAATGTAGAGGAAACTGCAGTTAAAAATGGGGAAGAGGAACCAGAAAAAGCCGGCGAGGAATACGCGTATTTGGAGAGAAACGAATTCACCTCCGAAATATTTAAAATTGAAGTGAAAAACCTGGGATACTTCGGTATTGGGGTACGTAACTGATATCTTCGATTAATTAGATTAAAATAAAGTGTTTTCCCCTTTGCAGGAGTTCAAAAAGCTCTTGAGAAGCACCCTCAAATTCGACGTGACCAAAATCAAGGCTCCGACCCGAAAAGAGTTTGCTTTCGTTTGCTTTCGCAGTCAGGAGGATCAACAGCGGGGTCTGGAGACCCTAAATGGTTACAAGTGGAAGGGGAAGGTGCTAAAGGCCCAGGCGGCCAAGGCCTCCGCCGATCCGCTGCAGAAAAGACGAGCTGCCGAGGATCAGGAGTCGGAAAAGAAGCCCAAAAAGCAACGCACTGCCGTGGAAGCCACTTGTCCTCTGTCGCACATTCCCTACGAGCAGCAACTCAAACAGAAATCCGAGGAAATGTCGGCCCTCCTGGCCAAATACACCCAGGAACTGAGGCGCCTCAATCCGCGGGCGAAACCGCATCTGGATAAGTTCAAGTTCCAGGAGGTTCTTCCCTCGCCCACCGTCGATGGTTACAGAAACAAGAACGAGTTCACTGTGGGCAAGAACTCCGCCGGAGAAGTGGTTGTGGGCTTCAGGTTGGGCTGCTATGCAGATGGATCTGTGGAGGTGGCCGAGGTCCAGGATTTGCCACACCTACCGGAGCAAGCCAAGTGGGCTGCTCGCAGTTTCCAGGAGCTTGTGAGGAAGTCCAAGTTCCTGCCCTTCAACCCAGACGGAAATCTGGGTCACTTCCGCCAGCTGATGGTGCGGTGTTCCAGTGCCACTGGCGAACTAATGCTGGTGGCGGGCGTTTATTCCTCGAATTTGAGTGAAGAAGAGCAAGTCCAACTCAAAGAAGAACTCAAGACATTCTACGAAGTAACTGAAGAGGGTGGACTCAACAAATGCACCTCCCTCTATTACCAAGATGTCAAACATCGGGAGGCAGGACAGATGATTAACCCAGTGGAGCACATTTCCGGAAGCACCCACATCACCGATACCATTCAGGGCCAGCAGTTTCGAATCAGCCCGCTGGCCTTTTTCCAAATCAACACCGAAGGAGCCAATGTGCTGTACCAAAAGGCCATTGATCTGGTGGCTCCCACAAAAGACACCACCATGTTGGATATCTGCTGCGGCACTGGAACCATTACTCTGGCCTTTGCCAAGCACTGCAAAAAAGTTATGGGCGTGGAAATTGTCCCGGATGCGATTAAGGATGCCGAGTTCAATGCGGAGGCGAATGGCATCAAGAACTGCAAGTTCTTCACCGGAAATGCAGATGACTTTATCAAGAGCATGGTGCGGGAAGCCCTCTACGAACAGGAAGTGGGTAAACCGCTGGATCTCATTGCAGTAGTCGATCCTCCTAGAGCTGGATTGCGTAAGTAAAATGAAATAATTAAATATTAAATATTATATAGCAATTAAAAATGTAGTCGAGCACTTTGAATATATCAGAATTAATTAAAAAGATGACTAGAGTGCACTATTTTTTATTAAACATTTAACTATTCCTGTTAATCAATTAAATCAGCACGAATTTTTTATCCTAAAGAATGCTTCTTAAACAATAAAGCCCTGCGTGAATCATTAAATTTTTATTTAATCATAGTCATGCTATGAAATTTTTGATTTGTTTAATTCAATTCTATGTGAAATAAATTGAATGTTTTTCTAATTCAGTTCGAATTGAATGAATGAATGAATCATATTTGGAAATTTTTGGAATTTGTCAAATTTTTTTTCTGTTTTTTTTTTGAGAACATAAAGTGGAAAATTTTTAACAAATCAATGTTAACTGCATAGTAAATAAAATTCAGGCAGATTTAACCACAAAATGATGGCCATTTCTTTTTCAAAAGAAATTGTCGTTTGTATTATTTCGGAGTTGATGCCATTCATTTATTCAATTCTATTAAACTAAAAATTCAAATTCATTCAATTCTATTTAACCTTAAAATTCTTATTAATTCATTCATATAAAACAAAAAATTCAAAATTATTCAGTGAATTTATTCATGCAGGGCTCTATTGAACAATTATTTAAACTAATCAGTGCTCACAATTTTTGTTTCTGTGCTGATTTAATAATAGTCATGTACCTAATTCTAAAAGATTAAATCATATTTTTTTGAGATCACTACTTAACACATATGTATATTGTTCTTTTAATTGATTCCTCTCAATTTATATTTACCTCTCCCTTTACAGACCACCGATCGATAGCCGCGATCCGCTCAGCGGATGCCATTAACCGTCTGGTCTACGTCTCCTGCAATCCGCACAGTGCCAAGCGGAACTTCATCGAGCTGGCCAGACCGGAGTCTAAGCAGTACAAGGGAGAACCGTTCTATCCGAAGTCCGCCGTGGCCGTTGACATGTTTCCCCACACGACGCACACCGAGCTGGTCATTCTGTTCGAGCGTGAGCCCAAGACAAAGGCGGATGAGAAGTCGCAGCCAGAGGAAGAAGCTACGGAGTCAAAGTCTGAGGCAACCGCAGAAGTCACCGCAGAAATCACCGCATCCGCGACGTGACGTGTTTGTTGCCGGGTACAGTTTGCTCCGCTGCAATCTCTTGCACATTTCTGTAATCTCTGAATCTTTCAGGTCACTCGCTATTCTCTCAGTCACCGAACACCCAGATGCCTCATTACCGCCTATCTGGCGTCTATCATTGTCTCTCTTTGTGGCGGCTGCTGCTACGACTTTTATATTGTTTTAAATTGATTTAATTGTATTTACGCTGTGCGACGGGGAGGAAGCGGCAAAAGTGACAAAAGCGACTTCCTATTTAGTAGAAGACTCTAAGTTGGAAGCCCCGTTAAACTCGACATAGTCCACATCCCCATCAGTTTTATTCAGGCCTCTGGAGGCGTCTGTGTGTGTGATAAGAATCGCTGATCGGTGGAAGCATTGTGATCGCTAAGGTGTAGCAACCGCGTGACAAAACCGCTGGGAGAGGTGCTCCAAGTCCAACGCCCCCTCAAGGGCAAATCCGTGAACAACGACCCTGACAACGATCACTGATCATGTCCGACCAGGTACGAGCGATCATCAACGATTATTTCATAGGCTAAACATATGTTGTATTGTTTAAAAGTAGAAAAGGTAGTTTTTATAAGAGATTGACGTTGATATGGAGCTATCAACTGGTGTATATTAAATAATTGGAAACTAACGCGAATATTTATTAGTTTCACTGGTTTTTATAAGATTATTGGAAGTTCGAGTTTGGCGATTAGATAGGAAAACTTTAAGACCTGGATTTGATCTATAATGTCAATTAAACTTCGAAAGCGTTATTTTATTAGTCAACTCACAAATATCCCTAGAATAAAACAATATGATCAATAACTTAATAGGTATGGCGTATCGTTCAGTTGATGCTCAATGAAATGTGTTTACCTGAAGCTTATCTAAGGTAAACATTCGCTTATTTCGCTTTTCCGATTACATGTTCTAAACGAGAAGTGGTTGGGTGATGTAAACAACATCTGTAGCCGTAAACAAAAAGCAATATATGTATGTATAATACCACGAAAATATTATTGTTTTGTAAAAGCGAACAACAAGCAAACGTGACCGAAATCATGTTGAATACACACAAAAACAAATCGGGACAGCCCTGAAATTTTATGCGACTTGACTTCCTGAAAAGGGGGGCGTGTCAGAAGCATATCTATAGTGAAAAGCAAAAGAAGCTTTCGTAAACATTAAAATAAATAAACAACCGAGTTGGACTTTGGAGCCAATGGGGCGATTTGTCTACTCAGCGATTATACGAATTATAAAAACACAAATAATATTGATGGAGCGGGAGGAGCCAAGATGAAAACAAAGTGTGCCGCAATTATAATAAATCAAACCCAGCGCAAAATGATACGACATTTATGCAGAGAAAAGGGGAAATTAACACAAGAGCGAACAAAAATTCGACTGAATTTGTTTATTCATATGTCTATATTTATACAATCTTGTAAGGCACGAAAACAGTGCCTAGCAACATCAAAAATTATGCGATTACGATCGAAATAGGGAACTCAAGACCTTGACCGGAGAGCTTTGTTTTCGAAGCCAAAAAGCTAGCAATGTTCTTGTCTTATCAAACGTTCAAATGTGCGATGTAAACAAACAACGAGGAAAACGGCAAATCCCCAACCGACGCAAACCGGTTCCCCCATAGAGAGATATATGCTCGTACTACCGGAGAGAGCTTTTCAGCTGATGCCATTCAGCATCGGTGGGTGAGAAGTCGTGACGAGGGCCCGGCTACGACTACGCCCCACAAAACGGACAGAAAAAACACTTCACGTGCGAAACACCATCGCTGCCGACAGCTGCACACGACCAACACGTTTTCTCGGCGGAGCAAATAGCCTCGTGGCACAGTGGGTATAGTCTGGGGTCTCCGAAATGCTCCGATTGAATTGCTCTTGTTGTCATCTGCGTTCAGGCGGGGAGCTTTCGGATTGCGTGTTTCGCTGAGCAACGCAAACTATAGCGCTTTTTATGAGGAGTATTAGTGAGATACCCTTATAAAAGGGGGTATATACATAGTCATAGTTCCCTAGATTTCATGAGCCATTCAATCTATCCATGTCTATCATGAATCATGTCATTAACTACCAATCATCATTAGCGTCTGAATAAAGCTAAGGAAATTAAACTTTGCACTAAAGAATTCGCTGGTATAAGGTCCGGTTTCGTTCTAAGACATTGTTTTATCAATACAGGAGCTTGAAAATAAATTGTACTCCTTTGTTCTGAAGAATTCGCGCTTTTAGGTCTAGCAAGTAAACTGTTGATAAGAAATTTTATCCCCTGTGGTTAAATATGTATCAACAAATTGTTAAAAATCCCAGGAAACCAATTTTTTTATTGGAATCTTTGATGGTTCTATTATTGCCATACAATTAGACTCGTCTATAAACAGTTAACCGAAGAAAATGTTGATTAATACCTCTGTTGGTTATTATTTTTTTCCCTGATTAATCGGCCATCTGCTTTGCTCTCCTGTCCTGATTCTTTCCGATCGAGGGCATTGCTAATTCGATTAATCTCCATGTTTTCTGTATTATCTGGTGTGTTTCTCTGTTTTCTGTTTTTGTTTCGCCGTTGCCCGTCGGCAGCGGTAGAGGCCAACAACATTTCGAAAAAGCCCAAGCCGCAACTGTACCGCCGGACTGAAAACCAAAACAATTCGCCAAGTCGTCGGATACGACTACGTCTCTCACACAAAGAAAACGGGCAGTGGCGAAAAAGCTCTGCCACTCAGTTTCGATAAAAAGAAATCGTTTAAATTGCGCGCACAACAAAAGCGCCTGAAACAGTTGCGACTGCAACGTCGAATTGTGACGACGGACCGTCCACAGCGTCCTAGTTCCCCAACCAAAGGATACAAACAAAAAACAAGCAAACAAATAACCCAACCAACCCAAAAACCCAGTACAAAATGCTTGCCTAGCTGAAGAAACTAAAATATTGCGCATACGCCGCATAGTGCAAACAAATAACTGTGATACAAGTTGAATTTTCTTGATTTTCGTTGGTCCTCGCACCAAAGCAACCTAAAACTACCTATCTTATTTGTGCTATCCTTAAAAACAAAGAAGCCGAAACAGAGGCAAGATGTCGGTGCCAATGCTGCTGACACCCATGGAACCCCAAAGTCCGGAGGATCACATGCAAAATGTAATTACCCAAATTCTGTTGAGAGTGCCGGAACCGTTTGTAATGGGTCTTTGGAGATTTTATAAGTGTAGATATAATGCAGGTGTTTGAGCTTTGACTTTTTGGGGTGTCTGAAGGTCGATGCTGTTGTCATCGGACATTTGCATGTCTTTTGCGCGTTTTGTTTATGCAATTTTCGTGGGTACACACAAATCTATAAGTGAGCGGGGCACGAGGGAAATTGATAGAAAATATAATCATATTAGGGCAACCACCTGGGTGGGGAAATAATGGGCGACTTGGGAAATATTCAAATGGTTCAAGCACACCTACCTTGGGGATGGGTATATAAAAAGTGAAATACATATGTTATGAATTATAGATATATTATACAAAATTATGTATGTATGTATGTCAAGTTGAGAACAAAGTCCAGTACCGTCTCACAACTATTTCAACTTAATGACGTCATTTCCCTCAAAAGCAATCACAAACATTAGAGTACCGAACCCCCTCTCCAACTTTCAAGTAAATAAAACACTTTTTTTAGTTTTTATTTCGAATAAGCTCTGCAAACCGAATGCCACATGTTGCAAAAGGTCCCACCTCACGTGACTCAATCACTCGGTTTTCAAGTTTTGTACAGGGTTAAGCTTTCGAGAGAGACCCCAGCTCAAGTGGCCCATGTCCGATTAGATGTTAGCTTATTAATTTCTCAAGAGCCCGCCATAAAATAGCGGCCTAATATATGATTTCCGATACTGAACTGACTGATAACAGGTTCAGCTGAAATACTAGCCCAGAAACACATGGACAAGCTTTTTGGCCCCACTATAAATAAAACGCACGCCAAGAAGTGGGTACAAGTAAATGTGCCCCAAACATGCGAAAGCTTTTTGAGTCTGAAATTTCCCAAAACAAAAAACATATGGTACAATATGCGGAGAGGCATTGGGAGCGAAAAAAAGAGCGCCTGCGTTGAAAACACGTGAAAAGGTGTTTAGAAATCGAGGCAAAGCTCGAACAGCATACGGAAATTAGCATAGAGTTGAGAAATCAAAAGAAAAAAAACAAATTCCATGATATCCAAATCCGATTGAGAACTTTTTGATGTTTTGAGGTGTTACTGCGGACTTTTCTCCCACACAAAAAAATCACAAGGCTATGCTAATTGTGCCAAGAACGTAAAATCGCTGGCAAATCGCGCGAAAAACGCACCGGCTGACGCAATTAGGGAAAAAATAAAAAATGCGGAAAACTATATGCTGTCTAGCGAACTATAATGGATGCTAGATCGCACAGTTTTTAAAATTTCACCAGAACACGCGACTTTTGCCGCCCCCGTTGCCGTTGAAATGTTGCCAAGGCGGAGGAAGTATAAGCCTATAGACAGATCCGAACAGTCGGTCGGTTAGGTGGGTGGTACCTTCTCCGCCACCGATAATAAATCTAGGCAGCTCGGTAAACAAATTCTGTGTGTGATCACAGCACGTGCCAGTTTAATCGAATTCTCGGTTAATTTATGGGTTCGCTCTACTTGCATAGACTTTGCCCATTGCGATTGTGTTTAGCGCCCAGTTGTCAGGGGCTTGTCGGCACTTGTAGGGCGATCACCAGCCGTTGCATCACCGATCCGCTACCATGGCAGCCGTCCCAGAAACCGCAGCCGCGACAAAAACAGCAACTGCCGGTTAAACCGCGTCAATTGCACTTGCTTCCGTGCGGATTACGCGCGTTTCGCTCAAAGGTAAACTCGCGTGCCTTCATGTTTTTAAGTTTTTGAATCGAAAAATAATGCAATTTTTTAAGCAACGCAGTTTTGTTTCTATAGGGAATTTACAAATTTTTTTTGTTTTTTTAGACTCCAAGTTGAGGCCAGTAATCCCAAAAATGATCGAAAAACTTTAAAATGAAATACTTTTAAATTATATTACTAGTATCAGTAACTCATCGAAGTCACTCAATTGTTTGTATTGAATTTGTATTACTTTGTGGAACGAAAACAACAGCTATAAACGATACAGTTGATTTTGACTCAAGTTAAACTCAAGTTAAAACAAATTATTATTACAATTAAATGAATCCATAACTTTGTTGATTTTTCCGTTGTTGAATTTCCTATATACTGCATATACTGTGCACTTTTATACTTTCTGGGGTTATCTATTTGACAATTGGTTACGCAAATAGAATTTTGATTATAGGCAGGCTTAGCAAAAAAAAACACTGTAAATCAAATTACTGGACGTCAGATCAGAGCTAACAAACCGAGAGCTTCGAATATATTGTTTTTTAATAGCTGATCTGTTGATAATCGGCGGGCTGATCTTTAGTCGAGCCCCAGTACAACACGTGATCTTGTTTGCGCCGCTGAAAGTCACGAGCGGTTCGGGAGCGACTAAAGACGCGTGCTTATCGCGCGAACATGTTTTCGATTCTAATTTGAGAAATCTGAGATCCGCGGTAGCTGGCAGGGGGGAACTGGGGGTTAGGGAGCAGCGACAGCAGACAGTCGACAGTCGACGCCCCGCCTAGAGAAACTTTATCAGGGAGAAACGGAATCCGCAAGGGGTCATCGACTAATCTCGCTGGCCCAGCAGGAAAGTTGCCGACTACTTAATAGCGGGCTTCGCCGCGCGATCGACTTTCAGTCGGCCTCCGATCTCCATTCCAAGCCGATGGCCATGTCTCGGACTGTACTAATCCTGGCCGTTGCCTTGTCCTTGCAGTGTGCCGCCTACGTGGACGGAGCCTCCCTCACCTATGGAACCGGAAACGAGCTGGAGTCGGCATCTGGATCCTCCGTCGCCTGTAAGCCCACTCTGCGGGAGTTCAATGTGCGTCTGGAGGCTCCCTTGGCCGCCGAGGAGCGTTTGGGCCTCACCGGCGATGTGAAGGCCCTCGGCGAGTGGCAGCTGTCCAGGAGCGTGGCTCTGGAATCCCTGGACGAGCTCAACTGGCAGGCCACGGTGCCGCTTCAGTCCTGCCGCCAGCTGGAGTACCGCTACTTCGTCTACGTGGAGGATCTATCGGGCTACAAGCAGATCCGTCGATGGGAGACCCACTTCAAGCCCCGATCCCTGGGACCCTGCTCGGAGCTGCAGTGCAGCCAGCTGGACGTTTTCGGGATCACCTCGGACAACTCGGATCTGAAGCCACAGGTGCATCGCGGCTGGCTCAACCACGAGGCTATTCTGCAGCTCAAGTTCAACGGAGAGAAGATGTTCCAGGTGCACGACATCGAGACCTTCGATCCGCAGCACGTCCAGCTGAAGATTGTGCCCGTGGAGCAGACCGCTGGCCTGCATGTGGAGTACTCCAAGCAGGAGTACGGCAAGAGTCAGCTGGAGCAGCAGCCCACCTTTGGAGTGCCCTATACGAAGGGCGACATTGTCATCTTTCACATAACCCTGCCGCTGGAGAGGATGATGGGGCAGCACTTCCGCCTGGAATGCTACAGCATGTCCAACGAGCTCCTGGGCAGCGCCAGTCTGGTCGCCTCGGATTTGAGTGGCAGCGAGGGACTGCTGCACCTGCCCATCAAGTCGGCCAAGGATGCGGATGAGACGCTGGCCAGGCTGAGGTTGCCCTACGTGGCGGTGCAGCCGTATCGCTACTCGCCGCTGGACTTCAAGACCACCTTCGCCCACTACTGGCCCAAAAGCTGGCCCAACTTGGATGTGGGTCATCGCGGCAACGGCAAGAGCTACATTGCCAATGCTCCGGCCGAGAGGGAGAACACCATCGCCTCCTTCCTGAGTGCCCACGAGCACCACGCCGACATGATCGAGTTGGATGTCCACTTGACCGCCGATGGTGTGCCCGTGATCTATCACGACTTCGGACTCCGCACTGCGCCGCCCGGCAAGCAGATCAGCCGGCCAGATCAATTGGAATACGTGCTCATCAAGGACATCAACTACGGACTGCTGAAGCGGCTGCGCATCTTCTCCGTGATCGCCGGCCAGGTGGTGGAGTATCCCGCGCACAACGCCGAGCCGCGGACGGAGCATCGCATATTCCCCACGCTGGTGGAGGTGCTGGAGAACCTGCCCAAATCCCTGGGCATCGATGTGGAGATCAAGTGGCCGCAGCGTCGCCAGGGCGGCGGATCGGAGGCCGAGCAGACCATCGACAAGAACTTCTTCGCCGACAAGGTGCTGCATCAGGTGATCGAGAAGGGCTGCGGCCGACCCATAATCTTCTCCAGCTTCGATGCGGACATGTGCACGATGCTGCGGTTCAAGCAGAACATCTTCCCGGTGATGTTCCTCACGCAGGGCGAGACCAAGAAGTGGCAGCCGTTCCTGGATCTGCGAACACGCACCTTCCTGGCGGCCGTGAACAATGCCCAGGCCTTCGAGCTGGCCGGAACAGCTCCGCATGCCGAGGACTTCCTGGGCGAGAATGCCCCGGAGATGCTGCAGAAGGCCAAGGACCTGGGCCAGATCGCCGTCATCTGGGGCGACGATTGCAACTCCAAGGAGCGCGTGCAGTATTTCACCCGGATCGGGGCCACCGCCACCTGCTACGATCGCAGCGATCTCTTCATGCCGGAGGGCAAGCAGGAGGCCTTCTTCAAGTCGCCCGCACTGATGGCCGAGTTCGCGGCCCAGTGCCGGATTTAGCTCACTAAAGTGAAACGGGCGGGTAGTCTAGGCAATGGTTAATCATTAGGCTTTTTAGTTAGTTCGTATATTTATTTAAACACTAACTGGGAAAGAGAAATGTGAGAAGCTTTAAAGTGGTTGGGTAATTTGCAGTTTCTCGGTTGCCCAACGGAAACAACGAAACGCAGACCCATAAATAGATCATCTCTACACACGTTAAGCCGTCATTTGGCATAATTACACATGCAAAATAGGAATTCCCCCGAAATTAAGTAGCACCACAAAAGACAATGGGAAGAAAGCGAGGCAAAGTGCCGAGAATTACTAAAATACATACACCTACATTACCTGCTAAAAATCTATATATTTACCTCAATGCAAAACTTGCAAAAAACAAAAAAAGAAATTGCTAATAAGCTTTTGTTAATTAAATCAGTAATGCCTTCTATTAAAATCTAAAGGGGAAAATACAAATACAGATCTTTTTGTGACTTGTGCAAAAACCTATTTTATATAAATTAGAAAGATATTTTATTTAACTGTTGTGAAACTAAATGTCCGGTCTATATACACTATTTTGTTTAATTATTTTGAACTTGAGTAAAATACTTGTTTAAGATTTAAGATATAAACTTACAGAGCAAGCAAATATATTTAAAGAAGTCGCTTACACTTTTCCAACTTCAAGAAAAAGCAATAATGTATTTTTATCAATACTAAAAATCAGTTTAACGACAAGAACACAAAACCAAAAGTGAAATAAAATCACAAGAAATATTTTCATAATATTTTCAACAGTAACTCTATCAAACGATGTGTTTTACTCTGAACCGAGGCAAATGTGAAAAGAAATTCCCTGTCGCACAGCCTAAGCAGCATGTAAAAATTCGATCCGCTTACATTTGATGGCCCCGTGACGAATGTAAAAGCAGCCATGAAAATGCTGGGCCCCGAAACACGGCCCATAAACGGAAAACGGAGAGTGGGCCATAAAAAGGTTTGGCCCTCGTGCTGGAAGTCAGGCCTAAAGTCCGTTGGGTTTATGGTCAATTAGAGAGCGCCTCATTTGCATCGGTCTTAGCATGGCCAAATGCGAATGTCTCCACGTTGTGGGCCTGGTCTCATTGATGCTGGCCAGCTCCCTCGTGGCCAGTTGGACGTGGAGGTGTTTGTACAAAGAATTCCCAGTCGACGTTGAAAAGGTGGGAAAGTGCGGTTGATGATCTTGAAATTCGATAAGCGAAGGGCCACTTGATTTGAATTTTGTAGATCAAGGGCGGCTGGTATGTTTATGGGACCAATCCAGACAGAATAAAAGTGTGCTACTTTGAAGATCGTAAGTAGGGGAATTATAAAATTATTATTATTATTATATAAATACATTTTCTATATCATAACATCAGTGGATCTCTACTGGACACGGATCACCCAAACGGACTATGACAACTATGCTGTGGAACTTCACTGCACCTTACCCTGGATGCGTCATCGAATGGCCATTTATACCCGCCAAGCAATTCCCAATGAAAAGACACTCGGAGATATAGCCTCGTACTTGAAAACGGTCCAGCTGACAATCAAAAACTTTAGCCTAATCCGGCAGAAGAAGGACTGTCGGTCACAGAAGCCTCCGATTATGCAGCGCTGGCATTTATCCCGGTACCTTCACATGGACTACAATCCGGTTTATGTCAAGCCCTTGGTGGAGAACGAAAACATCTGAGCCAGTCATTGTATCGCATCTCTGCTCTCCAACTGGCAACTTTCTTTGGCCACAAATTTACATATGCCAAATTTGGTACAAATATGCGAATATCTTAAAACAAAGAACGAACTCCAGAGAAAACCGAATTTGAGTTACTCTGTGCAATAAAGATGATTAAGTCTGTGGTACAGAAATTATGAGTCAATTTAATGGGCCAAGATGCTATCCCGCACAGCAGTGATCCATTAGGTAATTTATTCGGTGAAAGGTTGAATTCCTCGTTTTCCCGATAATATCTCTATCATGTTTTAATTAGCCCGACTTTTATATCTGCTCACGCTGTCATCGCTGGTGCCCAGTGGTCACAAACCGTACCCATCGACTCAATTAGTGAGCCGCTGACTTATTAGTTTCTTATGTCTTTCTTCCACCGCAGCTGATTCGGATTCGGAATCCGATTCAGATTCAAATTCAGATTCAGATTCCATTTCGTCGGAAACAAAACCATGGTGAGCTCGAAGAGATTCTTTCATTCGGTTGTTTGTCATCGTCGGGTCAAGTTGCGTCCGCATCCGATCTGGAGTCTCATCGTTTCAGTTTTCGGTTTCGTCTCGGATCTTGGGACCATTTTTGGATTTACTTTGGCCGAAAGAGAAAACTCGTTTCGGTGGCGCGAAGATGGTGATGTTGCTGTGTGGAATGAGGAAAAATGTATCGATCTCGCGTGTGGTTGAATGTGTTAAAATCAATTAGCATACTGCTGTTGCAGCTTCTGCCGTGGTGCGTGGCCTTTGTGAATGAATCGTCTGTTTTCGGGCCCGAGAAGCTGCAGGCCTTCAAGATCTTCGACGATGAGCAGCCCAGCCAGATCTCGGGTCGCAGCTTCGTCTGTGTTCCGTTGTTTCGGGTCTTCAGCCTGGAGTTGGGCCACAATATTCGGCTGGCCCCCGACGAATATGTGGCTGTCAGTGGTGATCACCCGGCTCTGGGCTTCTGGCAGCTGGAGAAGGCCCTGCCCCTCAAGGAGCAGGATAAGTCGCGGATTAAGTGGTATCTCAGGGTGTGGATCTGCGCCAGCCAGAGATTCTACTACCGCTACCTGATCTACTCGAAGAATGGCCAGGGCAAGAGAGTCCTGAGGAGCTGGGAGGGTCAGCGGGTGGCCAGAATGCTGCAGACCTACGAGATCTATCGTTCCCCGGGCCTGGACATCTTCGGAGAGGCCTATCCCACATCCGTGGGAGGGGGCTTCTACCTGGAACGCGGTTGGCTGCAGTACGAGTACGTTGTGGAGCTCAAGTTCGTCTGGCAGGATCACTTGGTTATATCTGGGTTGGCGAGTAACGCCAAGTACCGCCTGATCTTGACTCCGCTGAATGTGATAGACGACACCCGCATCGAGGTCTCCAGATATGCCTACAATCAGTCATCCTTCAGAGCCCAAAACCAACGGGGAGTGCGGTATAGTCAAGGCTCTATCGTTGTCTTTCGCATCTATCAACCCTTGGACACCTACAATGCTTTTCGGCTATCCATATATCAGGGATCCAGGGATATCCAGTTATCCTTGGGCGAGGCCTACATATTCCCGGATCAAATCAAGGGAAGTCGCGGCATTTTGCAGCTTCCCGTCTTTGCTAGCCTACAAAATATTGCCATTGGAGAGCTAACTCTGCCCTACTTGGTGGTGCAACCGATGCCAAAAGTGGAGGCCGGAAACCTGAGGGCTAGTTTCCATCACTATTGGCCCGACAATTGGCCCACGCTGGATGTCGGATATCGTGGCCTGGGAGCCAGCTACTTTCAGTCCTCGACCAGCCTCACGGAAAACACAATCGAGAGTTTTCTGGCCGTGCAAAAGGCCAAGGGAGACATGGTCCAATTGGATGTGCAGCTGACCAAGGACTACATTCCCATAGTGTGGCATGGTTTTGGGTTCTATACCTCCGACACAGAGGGTTCCATAAGGGATCGGTTTGACCTACGATTCGTTTTGATCAGGGAACTAACCTACTCCGAACTGAAGGCCAGTCGGGTGTTTATCCTAAAACGTTGGACCCTTCAGGAGTACACGCATCTCAATGTTAAGGATGTCACCCAACAGCACAGGATTTTCCCAAAACTCTCGGAGGTTTTCGAGGCGCTACCCAAAACATTAGGACTTTTGGTGGAGATTAAGTGGCCACAAATAATGGCTTCGGGTGTGCCGGAATCTACACAGAGTCTAAACAAGAACAACTATGTGGATAGGATCTTGCAGACCACTATTCATTATGGATGCGGACGTCCCCTGATCTTCGCCAGCTTTGATGCCGATATATGCACTATGATCAGGCTCAAGCAGCATGTCTTTCCTGTGATCCTGATGAGTATCGGGAGGTCGCACATCTGGGATGCGTACATGGACCTGAGGGCCCAGAGTTATCAGCAGGCCATTAACTTTGCTCAGTCCGCCGAGATTCTGGGAACTGCTCTGCATGTGGAGAACTTCCAGGGAAAGCATCAGTTAGTCCACTCGGCCTTGGATCTCGAACAAGTACTCTTTCTGTGGGGCAACGACCTGCAGGATGTCCATCTGTTGGAGCAGTTTCGAGCCTTGGATGTAACTGGCCTTATTTACGATCAGATGGATCGAGTGGGTCCCTCCAGCTGGAAGCGGTCCGCCTTCTTCCGGGCTCCTCAACTGATGGAAGTATTTGGAGCTCAGTGCGTAACCAGCGGAAATTCGACAAGCATTCCGGGAATAAAGCCAGCTAAGCCAACAATATGGCCAAAGTTGAGATAGTGTTTGGGTAAGGATAGGAAAAATTATGAGTGAGTTTTGGGAAAATAGTTCTAAAGAATTTTTGGAATAAGAAATAGCGAAGAATAATTTAATTTCTTTAAACATAAGGAAGTAAATTGTAGACTTTACAGGCAGAATGTTAAAAAAAGTGATGGTAAAGTTTAGTTATAACTGAAGCCAAAAGGGGTTGAAAACAGTCAATAATAAAATAACCAAATTTAGTAATAATGCAATTTAAATTCTAGTTAATTACTTTAAAAGAGGAAAAATGTTTTTAAATTGTTAAAAAATATTTTAAAACTTTTAAAAAATATTATTTTAACTTTAATCCGATATTCTTTTCAAAGAATGCCGTTGGAAATTCTGTTCTCTAAAAATCTATTAATTTTATTACATTTATAATGGGCTAAGTATTTCCTAGAAAAAGTTGTAAACGAAACTTCTTATAAAAATAAATATTTTTATTAGAGTAGACCAAACAAAATGATTTAGTACCTACTAGTTAGAATTTTTGTCTTTTTTTAGAGCGTTTTAAGTTATAAATAACACAGTCTTAAAACTAAAACCAATGAATGCTCAATAGATTAGTAGTTAAAATTAAAATGCTGTAGCAGAACAGTAACCGATCTCATAATAAAGAATTTGTAGAAAATGTAAAATTTTATTGAATGGTTTTATTTATACAAGCTTGGCTGACATCGCGCACCAGGTAGTCGTACTCCTCCTCGCACAAAATCTGAGCTCACACACACACACGGACAATCAATCAATCAATCAATCAGGTCGGAAGTGAACCCCTTTATTGAGTGGAGCAGTTGGCATCGGTGTAGAGGTCCATGTAGTCGTCGGAGACACAGGCGCTGCCAATGGGCATCGGCTGGCAGATGCCCTGCACCTTGCTGACGACCTCCACGTGGCAGGAGCGGTGGCCGTGGGAGGAGAGCTTGTGGAATCCGCCGGTCGGATGCTTGAGGATGATCTGCGGCTTGTGGCCACTGCGGTGCTTGGTGGGCGGCGTGGGCTCGTCGAAGGTCAGCCAGTCGGGGGGCATCGAGTGCTGGGGCCTGCCGGCCGCCTGCTCCCCGGCCATGTCCTGCTCCACCTCCAGAGGCAGGTCCACGCCCTCTACTCCGTCGTCCAGGTCGATGGGAAAGCCGACTTTGGATTTTCCCTCATTTTCAGCGCCCAGCAACTGGGGACTTAGCACCAGAGCGTTGGCAATCAGCAGAGTGGTAGCGCAGTGGAGCAGCAGATGCAGTGGGGCCATTCTACCAACCGAGTCCAGCCGGAATTCCGAGTACTTTTTCCTTGCACTGGCCGTGCATGAATGTGGCTATCCCTGCCAGCCAGGCGGGCTTTTATAGCTCCCCAATGGCGGACAGTCAATGACCCAACAGTTGAAATTGAAAAGAAGCCACTCAAGGAGGAAGCATCTATCGTCCAGCAGCCAGCAACCAGCATCCAGCATCCGGCATCCGGATAAATCCTTGGGAACCTCCTCCGCCCACGCGGACACAAAGGGCGTAATTAATTATAGTTGAGTATACGCCACGTAAGCCGCAATGACAAGGACGCCCTGCGGTGCTTCCTCCCTGGGAGCCGAGAAAATTGGAAATCTATTCCCATTTCGATTGCGTTTATTCTCATTCTCTTCCTCGGTTTCGATTCTATTTGGTGCGGTTTGGGCGCCGCCTTCCTTTTGTATTTCCGGCAATTATTTTCGACGATGTGACAATATTGCCGACAATCGGGATTCGCAGGAGCAGCTTGGGAGTGGGCTACCGAGTTTTGGTGTGGGGCCCTTAACGACTTCATAAGCATCTCATTCAATTGAATTCAAATGCAGTTGCCTTGGACCCGCAGGAAAAACACACACACACCACACGCAGACAAAATCAACGACAACATTTAGCGGAAGTGAAGCTGACGCCATTTTTAAAATGGCGCATACGTGTGCGACGTGTTTATGGCAGATTTTTTGGATAAATGACATGACAGACAGCAGCTGCCTAACAAGGCAAGTCAATAACAACAGCTAGGATAGAAATGTTCCAGATTTTCAGCTCAGCCCGTGATTGGTTTTGTGACTGGCCGTGATTTCCTGACTACTTTAAGTCTTTAAATCATTTAAAAGCAAAATTGTGGAATTTAAATCAAGAAACTCATTGTGTTTTAAGGCCAGCCGTGATTTCCAAGCTTACATTTCCATTAAATAATTTTAATTTTCAATAACAATTCAAGTGCCTATTCAATTCTTCCCCTGGCAATTCCAGTCACAGTTCAGATCATCTCTAATGGAATCATTTCTCGGGGGAAGCAGAGGCAGAGTCGAAGCTCTGGTGGCACGCAGGATGAATAGCTAAGGATAAGGAGCCCAGACTAGACAATGCCGACAGGAACCGCTGAATCATTAAATTGTACGCATTCGAGAAGCATTCCCCTCCTGGCAGCAACAAAAATATGGGCTAAAGTGGCACGTGAAATTAATTTAAATGCCCTGATTGTGGATGAATGACATTTGTTGTCGTCGACTGCTGCTTAGCTTGTTAGCAATTCAATTCGGTCATAATAGATGGCTGCCAGGCCCAAGCAGCCTAACCCTACCGCGGTTCACCTCAATTTCCTAGTCAAGGCGAGCTAATTAAACGCCCTTGCCTGTGCCGAAGCCGATGCCATTGCCTTTTGCCCAGCTAATTGGGGCAGCTGTCACAGATGAAGCCGGCTTGCCAGGACGAGAGCCAAGCGAAGGCAGTTCAAATAATTCAATTAAATTGCTTACGAACAGGAGACTCAACAACAACGACGAGGGGCGAAGATAAACCGCAGGCAGCCACGGAAGCCGAGGCATTTCCACAAACCGCCGTGTCGAACCAAAGCCAAAGCCAAAACCAAATTCAAAGCCAAAGTCGGCTAATGCAAATACCCCTTTTGCAAAACAACCGCAAAGCCAAAATGCCAAGTTGAAAGTGACAGAGACAAGGGGCTATGATAATTCAGGGGAAATCAACTAGGATTCTATGAAAGTTGCCTTCTAAAAAGTAACAAGAGAACTGAGTGGCATAATAAATTGGTTAGAAATGTCTTACTGTTCATTAGAACATAGGTAACAATATTTTAAAAAGGATTTTCTAATAAATATTTGTTTATTTGTATTTTTTTAATTTACCAAGACAACGGACATATAAACACCCTATAATAATTAAGAAATTTGTTAGAAATTTCGTTTTTGAATAATGTTTTAATTAAGTCACTTAAATTTCTAGAGAATTATTAGTTGAATATATTTACAAATCAGGATAGGATTACAGCTTCAGCGTAATTACTCAGAATAAAAAAATATACAAAAATAAACTCCTATGAATTTGTAACTTTGGACTATGCTATAACATGTCAAATTAAATTCAAATTCAATTGAATCGTAATAAGCGTGAAAATATTTTCGCCAATTTTTACAAAGTGATAGATGAAATTGCATTTGATTTTATTTAAAATGCGAAAGGAAATTGAACAGGAAATTGAATTTGTACACAGTTTTATTGCATTTAAGTCAAAAGTTGATTGAAGCTGCATAAAAAGCGATTGAAAAAATATGCGTGCGCAATTTGTTATGCAGGAGAATTTATAAAGGGTTGACAACAAAAATGGGAAATATAATATAAGCCAAATTAAAGAAAAAAACGACCCGTTTATTTAAAATACGGAAGCTTATCCTAGTAATTTAATTAAATAAACGTACATTTTATAAATGAGATTTTTCAAATAAATAATTGATTTAGGTTTTATGGCATTTATTTGATTATAGAAAATTGAAATGTAATTAAGAGATTATAGAAATTAAATAAGCTACATGAAGCTTTTGCCACAAAAAAGTGCTTCATAAAGGATAGTGTAGCTAAACGAATTGTTCAATAATTGAAATGCAACTATAATGTATTAATTGATCGAATTCAGAGACTATTAAAATTTATTGATAATAAAATCAATATGAGGTCTTTAATTGTTACAAAAGTACCTGGATTTTTTGAACTAGCCAGCTTTTATGTCTTATTTCTTAGAAAGGCCATCAAGTTTATGGCCGACCCTTAACCAACTTGGCTACCTCTCGACGCCTTTTCCTGTCGACAAAGTGCCCAAAACCGTGTGACAAAATTGGCAGAAGTCTTAGCCTCTGAAACAAGTAAACCGACGCAACTGCAAACTACCATTTGTTCTCCAGTGACTTAATGGTGCCATATACTTTCTGGTTGGGCTGTGGGCTAGGTCCCGGGCGTCTGCTTGCTCAATTTAATCTTTGACGCGCCAAAAATGATGGAGCACGGACAACTTTTTGGCGCCGGCAACGTTTTAATTTGCATTAAAACGCGACGCGACTGGAGTTGGCAAAATTCGCGAGAGCAACTATTAAACTAAACTTACAACACGGCTGGGTTATAAGTTTTTCGTTTTCGCGCTCCGTGCTCCGTGCTCCTGCATACAAATGGGCCTCGAAATCGACAGAGGCAGCCCCCAAGGATTTCCCAGGATTTTCTCCCCTTAAGGCTTTAATAATGCCCGCTTTTGGCCACAAATCAGCGGGGGGAAAGGGACAGGAATGTGGCCGAGGGTCCAACAAGTTGTCGGCTTAGCGTGTGGGCCGTTTTGTCTGCCATAAATCGTGTGATGGGGCTTAGCCGCCATGAAGTATGGCCGATCGGACGAATGATTTATGTAAATGCCGGATTGGTAGATGGCGAAGCTCTAGCATCACCTAGCCTTGAATCCTGCAAGCTAAAGTAACTTTGGTAAAGTTTTATCAGTCAGAAAAGAAATATCTTTAATAGGTATAAAGTCATAAATGAAGACACATCTTAAACTTAAAGAAGACTTTAAGCTCTGCATTCCCATACGTTTTCAAGGTTTTAAATGTAACATGTGGTCGAGAAAACTTTCTTAAAGTTAAGTAATGTTGGATTATCCGCTATAAGTAATAATTAGTAATATAGTTAACAAACCCATTATTAAAAATGTAAATATATTTCCCA